GTCAACCTTAAACACACTCAAAGGGCAGCCCAGATCGTGGCGTCACCTGGCAGTTTCCTCAGTGTATACCACATCCATCTGCATTTCCCTCTGCATGTTTATTAGGCAATAGTTTCTTGGTCGATTCTTCGTGTGATTGAGTTCCCTGCTGCCTACCGATTCCAGTTGGCCATGTGATCCTGAGTACCGAGTGAAGGCAGCTGTTGATAAAAACCTACGGTAGCCAGTTGGAAATGCTTCTGGGGAAGTGTCAAGTCTCTGAAACATGAATGAGCATTGACTTGACAACAGTGTCGTAAAGTCAGATCTTGTTCTTTATGCTTGGTAGATTAGGTCCCTAGACCGATTTCAGAGTGATGACAGTCTGCTGTACATTTCGGGCCCTGACTTTGACATCCTCGTCCGTGTGGCATGCCTGCAGTTGAGTGTATTTTGTCAGGGAAGGGCTGAGGTTGTATAAAAATGTAATAATAATGCAGACCCTTCAAACAACTGTTTGTCCTCCTCCTGTCTTTTTTGATCAACATCATTGGCAATAATTAAATAGACAAAACATCCTAAATTCATTTGAATCCATGAATTTCTTTGACCTCCTACAGATTGATGAATACACCACATTTTTGGATGCCTCTGTTCGATTCCGATCATTCTATCTTGATGGAGTTAACTCCATAACCGACAACGGCTACTTTTGAAGACACTCATCTTTCGAAGGCGTACCGGCCACTCTGCTGCCTCTCTTAGAGCTCTTTACAAAGGGCCGGTGCCTCTTTTAAGCTCCGATGGATAGATGATCTTGCCCACTCTTATTTGAAGTCACTTATAGGTTGTGATCACCTGTGATGTAAACCCATATATATATGCCCTGGCTGTGACAACTGGGTATTTGGTACTTTTTCTGTATTTTCGTCTTGAATGGGATCTAAGTTGCTCCAAAAAGCTGTGCTGTACAAGCTATAATCACTGAGGTTTAAGTCTCCCTTCAGGGTGTTTGAGTGCATTGTCAGATCACTTCCCACTCTTCGAGGCCGATATAC